GGTCAATTGTACGGAAAAACCGTGCGTACTAGAGAAAATCTGACTGACTCCACTTTTGTTCGGGCTGATCCAAGGATCGCAACGATGTAAAATTTTGAGTCTACGACAAAAGGTGCACGAGTTAGGGCCAAAAATGTCTGATATTTTAGTTTTTTGCGCTGTAGCGCCACCTATTGGCCCATTGGGCTGAGACTTTGTTAGGTTCTCCCAAATTGAGCTCTATCATTTGGCCAAGTTTCAAGTCTCTAGGCCTTACGGTTTGGTCTGCACGATCAGTTTTAGGGGAGAAGAATAATAATAAAAACTTCGTGCTTGAACCCCTAATGAACTGAAATTCAAAGTAATCCATAAACTGTCAAATTCTCATGAATTGAAAGTGAGCCAGTTCTTCAATTCTAAATTTTGCATAACCCTGATCACACATAACACCAATACTGTCTTACTCCATTGCAGAAGAATCTGAAGAGAAGACAGAAAAAATGGACACTTGCCCAGGAAGAGATGAGAAGAAAGGTACTTGTTAATACAAATAACACCTTTATATCACAGAGAAATGTTACAATGAATAATGTCTTTCTCTTTCTACTCAAACAGAGCTGAAAGACGAGAAGCATGGAGTAAAGTCAGAGGACTCTGCTAAGCTACAAAATGGAGAGAGTGCCAAAGAGACAAGTGGAGGAGTGGATGGAGTGAGTGAGGAGAAGAAGAAAGCAGTGAAGCAGAGGTTCATGTTTAACATCGCTGACGGAGGTTTCACAGGTACACTGGGACTTCGTGCTTGAACCCCTAATGAACTGAAATTCAAAGTAATCCATAAACTGTCAAATTCTCATGAATTGAAAGTGAGCCAGTTCTTCAATTCTAAATTTTGCATAACCCTGATCACACATAGCACCAATACTGTCTTACTCCATTGCAGAAGAATCTGAAGAGAAGACAGAAAAAATGGACACTTGCCCAGGAAGAGATGAGAAGAAAGGTACTTGTTAATACAAATAACACCTTTATATCACAGAGAAATGTTACAATGAATAATGTCTTTCTCTTTCTACTCAAACAGAGCTGAAAGACGAGAAGCATGGAGTAAAGTCAGAGGACTCTGCTAAGCTACAAAATGGAGAGAGTGCCAAAGAGACAAGTGGAGGAGTGGATGGAGTGAGTGAGGAGAAGAAGAAAGCAGTGAAGCAGAGGTTCATGTTTAACATCGCTGACGGAGGTTTCACAGGTACACTGGGAATTTACTGTCTGTGTATATGTGTACATGCTGGTGAATTCTGAATCAATGAACTCTCTGTTTCTCTCTCCAGAGCTTCACTCTCTCTGGCAGAATGAAGAGAGAGCCGCCACGGTCACAAAAAAGACTTACGAGATCTGGCATCGTCGCCATGACTACTGGCTGCTGGCTGGTATCATACAGTATCCTTAATGCCATCATTTTGATAAGCAGTGTGTCTTTCAGTACTGACAGCAATACGTTTCCTTGCATCACTAAAAGGAATGCGTCTTGTTTTATTGTACTTTATTATTATAATTTATTTATTAATGCTATTTTGTTATTTAAAAATATTATAGTTTTGTTAATATATTTGTTTTTCATTGTTTGTATTATTTACAATGCACTACCAGTCAGAAGTTTAGACATACAATTAAATTCTTTATGTACCAGTTACTGAATTTTATTTTATTTTAATTTTAATTTTTAAAATACATTACCAGTCAAAAATTTGGACACAGAATTTTTCGTTTTAAAATGATAGTAAAGTCATTAAAACCAAAAGAAGTACAGGATGTACAGGAACTATGCAGAAGTACCGGAGCTATGTAGTAGACAAGAAATGTTAAATAAATCAAAACTTTGCTATAAATCAAATACTCTACTAGCAATCTAGTGGAAACTTTTAGCTCTAGTTTTGTTAAGAAAATAATGTCTTCAAAGCAGATTTATTGCATTTGAGCATATGCCTTTAAAAGTATTTAAGATCATAACATAAGCAACATAAATTCAGGCAAGTGTGCCGAAATTTGACAGTATATCTTATATCAAAAATGGTCTGTTATGTCCTTCACCTCTACCATTAGCCACGGTTACGCACGTTGGCAGGACGTACAGAATGACCCGAGGTTCGCCATCCTAAATGAGCCTTTTAAGGGAGAGATGAGCAGAGGAAACTTCCTCGAGATTAAGAACAAGTTTCTTGCTCGCAGGTTTAAGGTTAGAGTACAGATGCTACGAAAAATGTACACACTGGCAGAGCTACATGGCTCTTCTTTCAACGGTTTAATTTATGTCTCTCTTTAGCTGTTGGAACAAGCTCTGGTGATCGAGGAGCAGCTCAGACGTGCTGCATATCTAAACATGACAGAGGACCCCTCTCACCCCTCCATGGCACTCAACACACGTTTCAGTGAGGTGGAGTGTTTGGCAGAGTCACACCAGCACCTCAGTAAAGAGTCCATGTCAGGAAACAAGCCTGCTAATGCAGTTCTACACAAAGGTACAATAACTCCCATAACTCTATACTGCACAATATGATTTGCCTCACAGCTTTGGACATACTTTTGCAATGCAGAAGTGTGCTAAAATCACAAATAAATGCAAAATAACCATATTATTTCTAGTCACCAGGACAAAAAACTATTCACCGATACTTTACTATTTCTTTCACAAATTATTCAGGATCTTTTAATTAAAGTTAAAGGGTTAAATGAATCAGGATGTTATGAATTGTTAATCTAAATTGAATTTAAATTTAAAGGGGTGGTTGATTGTGATTTCACTTTTTTTAATGTTAGTGTGTAATGTTGCTGTTTGATCATAAACAATATCTGCAAAGTTACGAAGCTGAAAGTTCAATGCAAACAAAGATATCGTCTTTTAAATTTCTGGCAGTTTAATGCCTACAAAAACTGCTGGTAAGGGACTACAACGAGTTACTTCCCGGGTCCGTTACCTCAAGAACCCAGAATTTGACATAAACCCCGCCTCCGGGAACACGCAGCAAAGGGGGCGAGGCCATGCTGCACTGCTTTAGAGAAGAGGAAGAGAAAACTACAGGTGCATGTAAAAATTTATTCAAATATGAATCGCGATTCTGTCTTCTAACGATTCTAATGGATTCACAAGTTTCAAAGTCAATGTTTTAAAGCAGCATTCTCATCCTGTTCCTGGCCTCGCCCTGCTCTGCACACGGTCTGCATCTCTCTCTCTCTCTCTCTCTCTCTCTCTCATTCAGATCATCAGCTCAGTGAATACACTTATTTTCACATACTATAGTTATGAGAAGCGTTATACATGGACGCGCGTGTGGTTGCCGAACTATTAAAGCTTTAATCAGAATAAAACCGTATATTAAAAGCTAACAGAAGCAGTAGCATTTACAAATAACAGCATATCTAAAAGTATGAGACAGTTTATAAGACAAAAAAATCTTAGGCCTACCATTAAAAGCCGCTGCGCGATCCTCTTCAATAATATCCTCTGCATCTCAATCGGGCT